GGGTGGGGGGATGGGAGGAAGTCCTGAGGTGAAACTTAAGAGGTGGGGATGAAATTACCATGGCAAGGTTGGGTGCATTTCAGGGAGGCAAGCTGATGGGCCAAGCAAAAGCAATGTGGGGTATTCCAGAAACTCCAAGATGAGACAGTGGAAGGACAAGTGGGTGCCCAGTGGTAAGCTTGGGCCACATCACACCACAGAGGGAGGTGAGATCTTAGCCTCTGGAGAACTTGCAGCAGAAATAGGAAATGGCCAGACTAGAGCTTTAGGAAGATCAAGTTGCCCTTGAAATTCAGTCAGTGCTGAACCTTTTGGCCTTCGGGTAACTGATGCCAATCTGTTGAAAAGATACCATGTCGGATACATACTATGATGAGTTGAATTATGACCCTCAAAAGATGATGAAGCCCCTACAGCTGTGAATACCACCTCATTTGGAAATAGGGTCGTTACAGATAGGATTGAGTGAAGATGATATGAGGGAATGAGAGTAGCCTAGTCTAATATGACTGGCCGCCTTATAAGGAGAGAACGCACACAGGGAGAACACCACATGGCCACAGAGACACCAGACAGAAGCAGCAGCTAGCCAAGGATGGATGGCCATCACCAGAAGCTGGAAGAACCAGGGAAAGTTTCTCCCTGGAGCTGTGGGGAGTTGGGGTGTGTGGGGGTGTGGGTGGGGGTGGGGGGAGAGGTTGTCAATACCTGGCTTTGGACTTCCAGTCTCCAGAGCTGTGGGAGAATAGCTTTCTGTTTTAAGACATCCAGTTGGTGGTATTTTGTCAGCAATTCTGCAAAAAAACTTACCAATTTTGAACTTTGTAAATGTGTTATTGCTTTAGCTACTCATATCAGGGAGACACAGGAATACGAGGGCATAGAAGTTGTTGCCCCTAAAATGTAAATTCCTTGTCTGTTCCCCTTCAGTGATGTGATTGTTTGGGCCTATTACCACAGTTTTCAACCCAATGAGAATAACAAGCATTAGAAAATTTTAGTACCTCCTCTTAGTCTACTTTTACTTTGAATGCCAAACCATTCATTGGAAAGGAAAAAATTTCCACCAGTGAATTGCCCTCTGTTAACCAAAAGTAAACATTATTTGCCTGTAAATTTGCACTATAGAATGACTGATAAGCAGCCCATTGCCTAGTTTCAAAGGCTGATGCTTAATGTAAACATTTTTTGGGGTTTAGGACCCTCATAAATTGATCAGGTTTCTAAGTTAGACCGAGGCTTGTTGGTGTAGATTTGGCAAAACAATTTCCTGACCATGACAAGGATGGTTTGAGAGCCCTCAGAAGATCACTTGGGTACCACCTCTGTTTTGTAGCAAAAAGGCTCTGTATCAAAAGATTCAGTAATCAGGAGTTAGTGTTTAATAATGCGGTAATGTTGGCCAACAAAGAATGATACCATCTAAAGAGTATGGTACTGGTTACTAAGAATTTATAATGTGTAAGATGCTCACATCATTTATACTTAGATAAGTTTATATAAGGTTAGATAAAATGATACTTGGATAAAATAAGCTACTCAAAATACAAAATTAGTGTTTTGATAGCATCTGTAGGCCCATGAGATGTCATTAATTAAGCTCACTTTTATAACTTTTCCTAAGTTCATTTTTCTCTTAAGCAGTTTACATGAGCTACTTGTTTGCTTCTCTCTTTACAGAGTCCGTTTTGTTTGTGGATTTATTTCCACTTCTGTTTACCTAAATCGTGTAGGGTCATGTTTTCTATTTTTAACTCTTTCATTTGACTTATTAGTTTTCAGTTCCCTCCTGTTTAATGATGTCTTTCTATATTTATTTCAAATAAAAAAGCTTAGTACATTAGGAAGACTTCATTCACTAGATTATACATTAGCATATGCAAATTAGAATGTTCTTTCTAATTGTCATAACCTTCGGGGACATTTACATTGGGCAGTGAAGAGAATTTTCTGGAAGGCATCTAGGCACACCACTATGCCACCCACACTGAAGAGAACTTTCAGAGTTACACTGTTAAACATCAACCAGTAGGTGGCGAAAACTGGCAATAAAAAGCTTTTTGTTTGTAGATGGTGAATCAAGAAGGAAAACACAGGCCTTTCAAATTCCATAGACTTTCAGTTCCCTGCAGCCTGTTCTTTCTCTTCCTGGTGCCACTCCACTCCTACAGTCCAGCCAGGCAAAGGTGGCCCAGAGGCATCCATGGGCTCTGAAAATGGAAGACATGTTGGGCACGAACAGCCCACAGTGCACTCCGTAGAGGTTGCTCCTCAGTCATGACTTAGGACTCAAGCCCAGAACCCCTGACTCAGGCCAGGCTCCCGCCACGACCCCACAGAAGCCTAGAGACAATGAGTTCACCTACTTCCCAGAAGGGTTTTCCTGCATGCCTCACAGGGAATCCAATTACCATGGGATCTGAATGAAGGAATGGTTTCACTCTTTCTACTGAGAGAGTATCCAGAACATTCCCAGGGACTGTCCTGCAGACCTGTTTTGAGAGTTTGGTGATAGGGTGCCCCAGAAGAAATCAGTCTCTAAAGTGAGATCCTACCGGAGCAAGGAAATAAGGAAGCTTTTCTTTCTCCGGGAATAGGGGATCCGTTTCTTTCTAACCCCCCTCTTTGCAGAAGTACAGTCTCTTTTCCTGCTCTCTCCTCTCTTTTCCTTACATGCTGGGTCTCAAAAGCACAAGGCTTTCGATTCCTCTTATTAATTGATTTTGGGGGCTTAGGACAAGGTCCTGAGGAGATCCCTACATCAGCGTGGTGTGGCATTAGCACGGTGCCTACTCTGCCTGTGAGAACATGGACCCCAGATCAGTCTATATCCAGTGTCGATCTTGAGGCCGGAACACACACCTGCCACTAGCACAGGCAAAGGAGCCCTGTCACAGCCAGAGAAGGTGGAGGTAACATCTTCCTGCTCTCTCACCTGCCTAAGAAATTTGTACTAGGCACCTAGCAAGGGTAGGTACATTGGGTGATAGGGAGCAACATATAAAGAAATAAGAATAGTTGGGCGTGCTTATTTCTCTTTGATTTTAGAATAGGAAGGGGACAAGCTATAATGGGGTCAGAATATACCGGCAGGATTCTTTCATGGTGTTTTTATGACCATGATAATCCAGTGTCCCTATATATTTGTACTTGAACCCTATTAAGTAAGCGGCTGTGCTTTTAGTAAACATTTTCTTTTCTTGGCTCTTTGTTTGTAAGACTCTTAGAGATAAAAATAGTTCAACACATGCAATGTGTTTGCCCTCTTATGCCTTTCTCCTAGAGGGTATTCATGCTGATGAATTAAAGTGTGCTTGTGGGTACATCCGTATGTGCAGTGTGTGTGTGTGTGTGTGTGTGTGTGAGAGAGAGAGAGAGAGAGAGAGAGAGAGAGAGAAAGCGCGAGCGCACATATACTTTAACTTGAGATGGCACAGCTGGCCAGGATGGCATGCCAGGTGACCCTGGAGGCCTCTAGAAACGGACCCGCCCTGCTATTAGGCCTGGGGCCTGGAGCCCTCCACAGCGACCAGCCCCATCCCAGATGCCGAAATTGTTAGCAGCAGAGGAAAAACATTTACTCCACCATTTGAAAGCCTCTGACATCCCCGACCGCCCCTCCACAGGCCCGCTGAGCGCCGGGGCTGGCCCTGGCTCGCGGGAGTCTCTCGCCGGTGTCCTCTGCTGTGGACAGGGAGCCAGCAACTCGAAAGTAAACACCACACTTGGGGTGAGGTCCCGCAGCCAGGGTGAGCCCTGGCCTCGGTCCTCTCCCTGGTGGCCAGGCGCGGGGAAGGCGAGTGCGCGCGCACACCCACGCGCACGCGCGCGCACGGCTGGGAAGCAGGAACGCACACGCGCGGCGCACACATGTGGCCGAAAGGGACACACGCACACACGCCTGGCCAGGGAGAAGGGGCCACAGCGCGCGCGCTTCGGGGTGCCAGGGCGCCCGCACGCGCGCTCGCTGCTCAGAAACGATCACAGCGACGCCGACGCTTCTCCCGCGCCGGCTCCCTCGGGCGCCCACCATGCGGCCGCCCGGCT